ATTGTAGCACTGGAATAGGTGCTGAGAGAGGATTTAGAGTCTCCATCCTTGGAGATTTTCCAAATTGGACTGGACAAGGCCTTGAGCAACCTGATATAGCTTTAAACTGAAGTCTGCTTTGAGCAGGAGGTTGGATTAGATACTTCCAGAGGTCTTCTAAACTAAAACTTTCTATGAGCCAGTGATTCTATGATTTACACCTCTTGAAGACCCAAAGACGATTCTAGCAGTTGGCTAAGGTAGTGGCAAGGAATAAGTTCCAACAGTGAGTAAGAGGGGATAAGAAGAACCAGACAGGGTAGTGGATGAATTTGAACCTGAAGAAGGGAAAGAAAAAGGAGAGTGATTTCAGTGGCACTGTAGTCAGAAAACCAACACTGCATTTGTCAACAGTTCCACATCATGCTATTTGAAAAATCACATGTAACTGTAGGGAAGAAACTGGAACATCTCAGCTCTATGTAATAACTCATGGCAAATGTTTGCTTTTTAAAAGGAACACTCACAGTTTCTATTGGCACTCTTTGCCAATCGGACCATAAAGTCTGAATTTGACTGTAAGATTGCCACTGCCAGATCTCTGAAATATCTGCTTTTCCAACACAAACACAACTCTGCAGCTTGCTGCGTGACAGGGTTCATGGTGAGCTGGGTCATGTGACAAGAAGGTTGAAACTCTTAGGCTGTAGCAGAGGAGTTTCACATGTGAGTTCCTTTGATAGCTAAGTTTCCTGGATAGCACAGCCCCCAGTTTTAGTGCTGAACAGTCCACGGGTGAGCTGACACTGGTGTGCCACTGAGCTTTATAAATGCCTGAGGTATGGCCTGAATTGTAAAGAAGTCCAAAGAAAAATAAAACGCACAACAACAAACCTGTGGAAAAATATTTACTTTTCTTTTACTGGGTGAATTTTCTGCCAGTGAGCTGGCACACTGTAGAATCAGATTAAGCACCAATGCCAGCACAAGGGAGGGAGGAAGACCATATGGCCAGGGATCTGGAGATAGGAAGGTGGGAGCACAGCATCATCATTTTGTATACACTTATACTTTTACAGCACTGCAACATCCTTGCATGAAACTTGCATTCCT